GTCAAGGCCAATATTTGCCGGTTTGATTATACGATGAATAAGTGCTGAGATATGACAAAACTATAGAGAATTTTCCAAAATCAGTAGGAATTACATGTTTTGAGTCTGCGCACAACAAACGGTGAATGGAATTGACATTGGAGTCCCGCTGCAATTTTGTTTAATATTCCTGTCGTTAAATTTAAAAGCTATCTTGATGCGAGACACGGCGTGACTTTGTGGCCCGATAACTGTAAGAAAAACTTGACGCTTCCTGATCGCAAATTCAAAATTTTGAGTTGATTGCGATCGTACCGTGTCAACAGCGAATTTTTAGCGCTTGCGGCGTGGATTGAGCGAATGCAACGCGATTGCGGAGCGAGAACCGCGTACGCATTTTATTATTTTTTGCCAATTTTCTAAAAAAATGACGATTTTTTATATATATAATATGAGCCTTTCAATAAAACAAATAAAGGTTAGTCAAACTTAATGCATTCAGGCTGAATATTTTTATTTTGGAGACAAATGATCTTGTAGAGAATTCAATGGGGTATCGTTTGGTAAAAAAATTAGCTCAATCAGGTGTAAGAAAGAGGAGAAAATTGAAAATATTGAGATTATTGTTCTTTTTGCATCACTCGCTAGTAGACAGTCCTCACTTGTGTGATCTTTTTTTCTCTCAAACAGGAAAAACATACATCTTTCTATTATATATCACTTTGGAGCTCATGAAACTTGCTACAAACTGATGTGTTCAGAATTTCAAGATCAGTGGGATCAGTCCTAGAACATGAACCAGAAGTAAACCGGCTAGGAAAAAATGTGACACATTTTTAGTCTTTACTATTTTTTACACTAGTAAAGAAACATGTATATTTTGTGTCATATACTTCGTCGAATTTCCGTCGAAATTTATGATATTCTGATCAGTAGGTTCAGCCTCAGTAGTTTTAGACGTGTCATCAGTTTTGCTGAGAGTCCCAAGACTTGTATTAGGTGATCCCAGATCACCCCTAAAGTTAATGGAAACATAGGTTATCGACATACTGAATCTTGTGGCAATATTTTTTTTTTCCAGAAAAAGGTAGGTAAACCTTGTGAAACTGAGTTTTGAGGAAATTTCACCAATTCAGCTATACAAAAATAAAATACATCAGTCCCCCTCAAAAATCCAACCAAACTGCTTTGAACCCTTAGGATACGATCAGAAGAGTGGATTGAACAATTAGAATACCAAAACAATTCTAAAATAATATATTCTCTTATGATGGGTTTAAAGAAAACCTCTGGAAATCACCATAATAGGAAAATAGATGTTTTTACTTTTCTTACTCTATCATCAAGTAAATCAAGGAAGAGGGACTGTCATCTCAGAGTTCCAAGCGGTTTGGTTAGGTTTTTGAAGGAGAGTGAAGTGTTTTACTTTTGTATAGTTATAGCTGAATTGGTGGATTTTCCTCAAAACTCAGTTCCATCATTATATCGAAATCATCTAGATTGAAAGTACTAACCTACGCAGAGGTGCTAGGTTACCACTAGATTCTCAGATAGCTAGTTGTCAATTACAAAAGAAATCAGCAACTATCAAGTGACACTTACGTCGTTTTCAGAGTAACTGAAGAGTAATTCAAAGCAACTGTCACGTCATAGTAATTGTGGTAACGGCAACTCAATAATTAATTACTATTACAAGAATAGATGGTAAATCATTCGTTTATTTCGTTTTCGTCAATGGTACTTCCTTCTGATAAAATACTACACGAAAGCCATGATAGTTAATATTATTTGTCAGGTCAAAAATTATTATTTGACTTTCTACAACAAAAATTTATTTGATATTCAATCGAAAAATAGAAAAATGTAACTGTATGCGTCATCTGCTCCATTCGTAAATATTTTTTCTTTTTGACAGTTAATATATAACATTTTTATTCGTAAATATTAATGATTTTGTCTACGTGAAATAAATTTGTGATGGATACTATGAAATATCTATATTTCGGTTGAAAGCTGTCTGATAATGGGTTTTTTTTTCTATTATTTTGGCTGTATGTTTTTGATAAACATTAACCGTCATTTTTGTTTGTTCATTAACAACATGTAAATATTTATTATTGTGTTGCTGTTATTCATCTAAATAATTCTGAAGTGTAATCGAATATTCAGAAAGATGGAAAAGGTAAATTTTTAAAATGATTAATAAAAAAAATAACAGTTAATTTTGAACAACGCTGTTATATAAAAGAACAAATAGATGTTTAATGATATTCCAAAGCGGAAAAAACTTGTTTAAGTAAAAGATTTGATTTACGTTTCATTTTAGCGGTTAACATGGTGAAAATCGTACTACGCTACGTGCTAGCATATATTGAGAAGAAGAGCTCAGGCAGTTAATAATGGGTATAAGAAAACCAGTCAATTTTTGTATTTTGTTTTTTTTTCAGCTCTAAAATAAAGTTGAAAAGTATCATTCTAGACTTTAAAAAGAAAGAATTGTTAATTCTAAATTGTTCTCAACATCCGATATTTCCATGTTATTCCATTATCTAAAGAAACTAACTGAAGGGACATATTGTATTTATTTATTTATGTACTCAATCTAATGATTGCAATGTTTACAGAAATTTCAACATGGATAATTTTGGAAATATTTTATGCACTTACATTACCAAAAACTAAAAATAATGATCTAGTTCCGTAGAGATTTTGTGAAAATTCAAAGTTTTCAAAAAATGTCGTTTGTTATTAAAGTAAACTTGTTTGTCACATTAAAATACGTTTTATCTGAAAGTGCAGCAAATTTGATAAACTTCAAAATAGTATGTAATAGAAAAATATATATCTTTTTGTTCAGGAAAAAAAGGGCTAAATTAGTGAAAACTATAAATCCATCATGTTGTGTATATAGATTTGCTCCAAGCATCCTGCTGTCACACCACAGTTAACTGTCTTTTCTACACTTTTCTTTATCTAGAATTGTAGGGAGTGTAAGCGGAAAGAACGTAAGAAAAGCACCTTTTACGTACACCGCGAGTGATCTTTGAGAGAGTACTTTAACTGAATGGTACTTTATTAAAGTGGAATGATTCAAAAACTAAACACTCAATATTACTTAAAATCGGATAAAAATATTTTTCTACTATTTACGGTACCGTTTTGGATCGTCTTCTTTTAGTTTTCATTGTAGAATAACTACTTGAAACGAATTTTTAAAAAAAAAAAATATCTGTGATGAATATCTAATAAAAGCATTAGGAAATAATCAATTAGATTGAATAAATAAATAAATGCAATCTGTCCCTTTAGTTAGTTTCTTAGATAATGGAATAACATGGAAATATCGGATGTTGAGAACAATTTAGAGTTAACAATTCTTTCTCTTTAGAGTCTAGAATGATACTTTTCAACTTTATTTTAGAGCTGAAAAAAAAAACAAAATACAAAATTGACTCGTTTTCTCTAGTCCATCCATTAGTTAGTCGTCATCTTTTCGGTTAAGTTTTGCATCTAAATAATTGTCGTGTGATATCAACAGATTACCACTGTATAATATTTTTCAATGTTTATCCTATTGCCTCACATAACAGAACGTTGAAAAGAAATGTGCTTAGAGATATTAAACAGAGTATCATCATTTTTCAAGGTTGAAGATTAATGGACAAGGAAAAAAAAGAACAACAATTAGAAACAAACATTCGAGTTTATCAGTTTTCTTTATTTTTTTTTTGTCTTTTTTCTTCATTGTGTAGGTGCCATACTATTACTATAGTGTAATTATTTTCATTTAAGTTTCTAGCTTTGAGATAAGTTTGATATATTTTTAATTTTCTCTTGTTTAATATATTGTTTTGTATGAATTATGATAACTGTCATGAGTTAAATAATTACACACGCCTATTTTGTTTTTATAAAGATCTTTGGTAGCTAGTGTGTAAATGCGAAAGATCAAATGACAGTAACAGAAGGAAAGAACGACAAGTAAAAAATGTGTACATATGAGATATACGTATGTTTGTGTATGTTATTAATAGAATATTCAAAACACAATTCTATCTATGGATATGTCGGATAAATAATATTAGTTTTTTTTTCTTCTTTTTTCTTGTTCTATATGATTATCGTCTTTTAATTTGTACAATATTGTACTCAAGTTTGAAGGGATTAAAAGAATTATTTCAAAACTTTGTACGGACGTTTGTACAAAAAATGTTTTGGTGCTGACAGAAAGATAAAGAAACAAGAGAATTGCGGATAATAATAATAATAATCGACGTCATTGATTTTTTGTCTTTTTTTTTTTCTTCTCTTTTTTTACCACATTGCGTGTGCATATACGTCAACAAGATATATAATGTAGCAAAACAACAACTAACTCAAAATAAGAAAACAGTAAGAAAAAAAAAAGTGGGCTTGGAAATATAAAACATTGTAAAAAAATAGAATTTCTCATAAAGGTACAAGTAAACAATATACATATAGAAATATATTTCTGAAATAGTTTTTAATTGATTCTTCTTGAAAAATAAGTATTGTGTTTCTATTCTGCTCACAGATCTCAGAGGTAAAGTTTATGAAGTTTCAAGAAAGTAGTTAGTAGGAAATTTGAGTTTTCCTTAAATAATAAAAGTGCTAAAAATAATAATGGATAATATTCCAAGTACTCTTCTTCAGTATTGTAGGCTAAGTTTTATGTCATATGATGAAAAAAAGTGTTTCTCTCAATAATATTTTTTACAGAAAAACATTTTTGTTATGCTACAGACCAATATTTTCTGCCCACTCAAATTACAAATATTTTCCACTCTTTTTTTCTATTAGAATCTGTCATAGAAGATAATTCAGAAGATGGTCACGCACTGAGCTGTTGTCTATTTTTTGTTTTCGATTGTGGAATACTAAAAAATCATCATTTTAACGAGTACCAACTTTATACTGATTGTAAAAAGTTATTTTGGCATTGAGAACTAGTAAATACACGACACATATATCTAATTCTTTTGGTTTAGGAATTACATTAAATGGCACGTGTTGTACGTAATTCTAAGTTTCGTCATGTATTTGGACAAGCAGCTAAAAAACAAGATTGTTATGAAAATATACGTATAACAAAAAGTGCATGGGATTCAACATTTTGTACAGTTAACCCAAAATTTCTAGCTGTTATCACTGAATCAGCTGGCGGTGGAGCATTCATGGTTTTGCCCTTGGATAAAGTTGGACGGCTTGATCGTGATGTTCCTCTAGTGGTAAGTAAGTGGAATGAATATTGAAGTCAATACAACGGTATAAGTTTCATTCCTTTAGACTGGTCACAAAGCAGCTGTACTAGATATTCAGTGGTGTCCACATAACGATAATGTTATTGCTAGTGGATCAGAAGATTGTACTGTAAAAGTTTGGCAAATACCCGATCATGGTTTAACACAAAATTTAACACAAGCATCAGTAGACCTCATTGCGCATCAAAGACGTGTTGGACAGGTTTGTTCAAGTTGTAATAGATGAAGAAGATTCTATTAATGTTCTAAATTCGTTCAAGGTTCTATGGCATCCGACGGCATTAAACATTTTATTGAGTTCAGGTGTGTAATAACTTAATATTAAACGACGCTCTTCTCTAATTCATCCTTCTTATTTTTCATAGGCGGTGATACGAAAATATTGATTTGGAATGTGGGAAAATCCACAATATTGACGACAATTGACTGTCATCCAGAAGTAATACTAAGTATTAGCTGGAACTATGACGGTAGTCGAATAATAACAGCGTGTAAAGATAAATATTTAAGAGTTATAAATCCAAGAAATGGAGAAGTTTTGAAAGTAGGTTAAGAATGACAAATATGTGCAAACAATGTGTTTTTTTCTCACATTTTATGTTACTAGACTGGTTTAGGACATCAGGGAGCAAAACCAATGCGTGCAATTTATCTTCGTGACGGACGAATTTTTACTACTGGATTTTCCAAAATGAGTGAAAGGCAATACGCATTATGGGATGAAGTAAGCGAGAAGGCTTAAATTGAAGTGTTATTTACAGAAACAATAAGCGCTTTAACATTTTTATTAAGGTTTCTTTTATGTTTCTACATTCTTTACTCATAATCATTTGTATAGTTGTTGTTATTGTTATGTAACTTTTGTTTAGGCAACATTGGGAAATGCATTAGTGATGGAAGAGCTAGACAGTTCAAATGGTGTACTATTTCCCTTTTACGATGAAGATACAGGTTTAATATTTTTATGTGGAAAAGTAAGTCGTTCACTTGCCTTTTATCTATTTGGAAATAGAGTATTGATGTTGACTAGGGCGATTCAACAATTCGATATTTTGAATATACTCCAGAGCCACCTTATATTCATTTTATTAACATGTATTCTTCATCTGATCCACAAAGAGGAATCGGTGTTATGCCAAAAAGAGGAATGAATACAACAATATGTGAAATAGCGCGGTAAAGCAATCTTTTTAATCTCTTTGCAAATAACCCGCTATTTCTGTTTTTCAGTTTTTATAAACTATTGAATACTGGATTATGTGAAGTTATTAGTTTCACAGTCCCAAGAAAGGTATGGGTTGTTTTATTTTTAGCTCTATTTCTCTATGTTTATGATAAATTACCTTAATTTTTATAGTCTGAACTATTTCAAGAAGATTTATATCCGGACACGGTAGGAGAAGAACACGCAATTACAGCTGATGAGTGGATTAAAGGAACTAATGCAAAGCCAGTTTTAGTAAGTTATTTTACAATGTCTAAGATCTTAATTTATCTGTTCGTTATTCTTTAGATGTCTATACGGGATTTACAAGGAGGCGGAAAAACGCCAGGACAAAGTGGAAACAGTGGTGGAGGATCGGCAAAGCAAGAAGTTGTTTTTGGAAAATCAACATCCACGGCAGCTAAAACACAACAAAATTTATCTGGCAAATCAAGTTCGACACAGTCTCAAAAAGATGGAGCTGGAAATCAACAACAATCATCTTCTCAGGTAGAAAAGTTGTTTGTATTCTTTGTTGAATACTTGTAGAAAATCTTTATTTTTAAGCTGAGATTCTACTTATAAAATATTGTTATTTTTTTTTTGTGGGAAACAAACAGATCTACGTTTGCCTTTTTCTTCTTCAGCACGTCGATAATGAATTAATCGAAAAAATGACTGAAGAAATGCGACGTGTAAAAATTATTGTAAAAGGGCATGAACGTCGTATTAAGACTTTGGAAGAACGGTTATCACAGTATGAAGCGCCAATTGATGATTTAGAAGATTGATAATTATTCTCATCTTTCTTTTGTTCCTATTTTTTTCTTCAATTCTCTCAAACCAATCTTCTCATACACGTTTTATTTCTTTTTTCATATTTACATTTTGTTGAACATATATACGCGCATACATACATATCAAATCGTTACCTATAAATAAGCAGTAAGATAAAGATTTTAGGTTTTTCTTTGCTCGAATAATTTTGCTTTGTTGTTGGTTTAATCAGTTTGCTATTGTCTGTTGTTGTGTTGTGTATTATTGCATGCGTGCATGTTTTACATCGAAATATACATATTGAGTTTTTTCTCAGCTACTTAGAAATGAATAATTAGTAGATAAAAGAATAAGTTTAGTAAGCGTTTCTCGTTTTCTACAGTTGCACTATCAATGACGTTCAAAGGTATTTCCTTTTCAAAACATAGATAGAAATGGAACTCTATTTTTCTAAAAGGATTATCATTACGAACAATATTTTACAACTTATCGTATTTATCTTTTCATACACGATGCATATCGGATTTTAGAATTTCATAAATTTCTTTTATACTAACGACAGGTATAATTTAACAGTTAATTTTATATCCCATGTTTGAACCATTTACAATTCAATCTTCACTAACTAACTAACCGACTAACCGACTAATCATCATCCAACATCAACAAACGTTAAATTTTTCTTGAACGATATCGATGTTAAAGTGAAGGATTTGAAATAAATCTCAGTGATAGTATAGTAACATGGATCTGCAAGAAGCATTATAGAAAATATAAATATTGAATTAAACTATAGAGCATTATTTGCACGTGTTTTTTTCTTGCCCTAATTCTTGTTTACTTCTAGTAATGTAACTATGTTCAATTTTACTTTTTATTTTAGAATAAAATTGAACCAATACAGGAGCTTCAACAACAATCAAATCATCTTGGATTAACACAGCAATCATCTTTATCGTCACCAACCTCTGTTTCTCCATCATCAAATAATACTATTAATCAACAAATTCTTTCAAAATTAAATGACATTTTTTTTCGTATGAATGATTTCGATAAACGTTTACAGTTTATTGAAAGAGCCCTTCGTAGCGGTACCACAGCATCTACTTTATTAGCGACTAAACAATTATCGGTATCAAAACATCAGTCACGTGTTGAAAATGACTCAAACGACGATTTGAGATTTTAAGAACTTTTTATTGTTGTTGTTGTTGTTGTTATTTTTTTCATCTCTTATAGTATTTAAATATTGTTCATCGTTGCATCTCGTTTCTATGATGTGATTTTTTTTTTCTCGATAAGTGCCGTCACATTTTTCTCTCTTTCTTTGTATAAAAGGTATTTATTGTATCTTTCTATTTTCTAAAAAGGTTATAAAATGATGATGTCACGTTCAATTTTCTCTCTGATATTTAGTCATTTGCGTTTAATGGTTAGTGTTTGTTAGTTGATAAAAAACTAAAAAATAATCTGTTTTTTTTCTCTTGTAATTCAAGTTTATATATATATATCTATACATGTATATACATGTATAGATATATATATAAAGAAAAAAGTACATAGTCATTTTCAACTATTGATTATGAGCCAAAAACCCGGTGCTCTTGTTCATCTATTTTTTGCAATGATTACGTTCTTCCTTTTAATATTTATGTCAATTTTGTTCGCTACTTGCCTTGTTAAAAGCCAAAAAATGAATTTACTTTATAAGATAAAATTTGACTTGACGATTGACTTCAATCTTTGAATTTCTTTTTTAGTGTGTGTGTGTGTGTTCCTAAAGTATTATGAATAATATGTAGATAAGACGTTTGTATATCTTTTTTTTTCTTCGTTTGTTGTACTTTTTTCTTCCTCTACGAGTAATTTTTCTTTTTTTTTTTTTATTAATTTTTTCGTGTGTTCAATAAAAAAATGAGCAATAGAGAACTAAGATTTTTCGTTTGTAAATTTTTTTGACTTCTAGTTTGTCATATTGGAAGCCAATAAGAAAACTCTATATACCATTAATCTGAGTATAAATGGAAATCGTACAGTACAAGTAGGTAGTATAAAAAACATTCATTTCTCTCCACTGAAGCAATCTTCTTTCAATATTTTATGAATAACTTATGAATACAAAGATTTGAATAGACTGAATTTTCACTTTTTTTTAAAAAAATAACAACTTGAAGAGCGATACTTCTTGTAACGTTGTATGAGTAGTGTTATATAACTTTATTGCTATTCAAAATTTTATATGACTATTATCGAAGAACATCCAAATCCGATGTCTATAAAACAGCAATTGAAGTAAAAAAAGTTGATTTTAGTTTTAACGTCTAATGAAAAATGAGTGTTAACGATTAATTAGACCATCACGTAGAAACTATTTCGTGTCATTTTCATATTTGACATCGTAGAAAATCTCTGGAAAACAGCTAAACAAGCAAAATCGCATCATCTTTCTTGAAGATATGACTGTTCCCTACTAAAGAAAGAAGAGAAAGAGAAAAAAATGGGAGGGTACATACATATAAGTGTGTCTCATTTGGATGTATTTCCAATTACACCACTCATTCTTGAAAATATTTTGAAACATTTGAAACATTTATGTCACCATTGTTTGTTATTAATTCTTAGTGGATACTAATCTTTTATTTCAACGTTCCATTTCTACTAGCGTATTTAGTACAATTCACTTATGACGAAGTAGTTGATTCGATACCATTACGTATTCGACATAAAATGAAACCGTTTTATCATTATTTTTCAAACACCTGTTTAAATGGGTAGTATGATATTGAAATATGGAATGTTTTTGGTCAAGATAGTCGAACAATTACGACATTCTAAACTGTTATATCTCCTATAAACACAACCAACTGTATGGCAATTGATTGAAACACTTCAAGTACAATATATCCTAGTTCAACATGATATTAAACGTTTACATGTTAGGACATATACAGGTCGAAATAATTTAGAATAAAAACGGCTCAACACAACGGTACAACGTATAACAAATGACTTTAATCTTGATCTAACTCAACCGTTAGATTATGTTTTGCTGTTGCTAAACATAGCAGTTCTTCTTCTTAAAATGGAATTGCATTGTCAAAATAATGCTCACAAGCTTTTTGAAATTAAAATAAAATATTACTAGTCACTAAGAATAAATAACAAACAGTGGTGACAAACGGTTCAGATGTTTCAAAATATTTCCAAGAATGAGTAATGTAATTGAAAATGATAAAATTTAGTGAATATAAAACAATTCTTCTGCAAAAAATTTTATTAAGACAAATTTAAAAAATGACGACGACATAGAAAGTTTTAGAATGTCGATAGTGTTTGTATTACGCACAGTATTAATGTGAATAGCATACATGTTATCCAAGTATTTTACTAGTATGATGATGTTAGTATCATTCTCTGATCATGAATCATACTTTCTTAGCTTCGAGCTTATCGTATTTGAAAACTTTTTGTGCAAACAGTCGGGACCTGAATGTAATTCACATCCAATAACTCTAATATCTGTAATTTCTATACAGAGTGTAAAATCGTTGCACATATTTTCTAATGTGTTTCTACCTTTTTATTTCCAACCAGACTTTGAAGGAGTCAATCGAGGGATCAAAATAATACCTTCGAGTCTCTCCGAAAATCCGTTCTGCGAATCCTATCGTCAAGTACTTCAAGTTTTCTGAAGAACCAGAAATAAGATTTCGAATATCACGCAAGCTTATTTCCAGGCATCAAAGTCTCATTTTCGGCAATGTCCTTGATTGATTTTTTTGGGAGAGAATGAGAGGTGTAATTTCATGCATCATGTCATTTTTTTTAATCAGGCTTTAGTGTATGTTTTGATGCTTAGTTGATTGTTGATGCTTTTTTCAATTTTAGATGAAATTAAATTATGGCATTTACACCTGGACACTAATACTATTAATTTTTGCTACAAGTCTCGTGGTGGCAGGGTAAGTTTTACAAGATTCAATCTTATATAACACAATTAACTATCTTTCTATCGTTTGTTGTTTAGTCGAGATTTTTATAAAATTTTAAATGTACCAAAATCAGCGACATTAAATCAGATAAAAAAAGCTTTTAGAAAATTAGCAAAAGAATTACATCCAGATAAAAATAAAGACGATGCACGTGCACAAGAACGTTTTCAAGATCTTGGTGCAGCGTATGAGGTTAGTTATTTCATCTTATCATATTGTAAAAAGTCTAATCTCTTTTTCGATTCGTCATAGACATTATCCGATCCAGATAAACGAAAAATTTATGACAAATCGGGAGAAGAAGGAGTGAAAAGGCATGGGGACGATGGTGGATTCCATGATCCATTTCCAAAGTAACAGGTTGCTAATCACATCTTTCAAGAACTTGAAATATGTGTTGGATATTTTTAGTTTTTTTGGAGATATTTTTGGTGGTGGAGGAGGTGGTGGCGAAAGTAATGTGCCTCGTGGTGGTGATGTCATTTTAGACATATTTGTTACACTTGAAGAAGTCTATAGTGGTAACTTCGTTGAAGTAAGTTATAAATGTCCTTTTGTGTGATATGAATAGCTATTTGAGTTTTGTTTATTCAAGGTAGTTCGTGCTAAACCGGTGGCAAGAAAAGCAAGCGGAAGTCGTCAATGTAATTGTCGAACGGAAATGCGTACAAAACCATTGGGAGCAGGGCGATTTCAAATGATACAAGAACAAGTGTGTGATAAATGTGATAATATCAAGTAAAATAAATATTTGAAGTTTGAAATATTTAGATTTCTCACTCTCTATATTATTTTACAGATTTGTAACAGAAGAAAGCGTATTAGAAATTGAAATAGAACCAGGTGTTCTCGATGGATTTCAGTATCCATTTACTGCTGAAGGTAACTAATAAACGCTAAATATCGTAACAGTATGTTGATTATCATCGTTTTAGGAGAGCCACACATTGATGGAGAGCCAGGAGATTTAATATTTATTATTCGACTACAAAAGTAATTTACTTTGTATATTGAAATATAAATTATTTTCAAATAAATATTATTTTGATCTTTTAAGGCATAAAAAATTTGAACGAAAAAATAATGATTTATATATAAATTTAACAATAACATTACAAGATGCATTAAATGGTTTTGATGTTGAATTTCCACATTTAGATGGACATAAAGTAAAATTAACACGTGAAAAAATTACTTGGCCAGGTGTTAGAATTAGGAAAAAGGGTGAAGGTCTACCAGCACATGAGAGCAATACAATTGTTGGTGATTTATTTATAACAATTGATGTTGATTTTCCAAAAGGTGAATTGAATACGGATCAACGAGAAGGTAATACAAAAAGATTTTCAATTAGATATGATCTATTTCTAGAATCATTTCATTTTCTAGCTGTGAAAACGTTGCTCAATCAACAATCAAAACATAATTTGTACAATGGATTATAGCACCAAAACACTTAGAAAAATTAGGTAATAAGAGGAGAAATTTTTTGTAATTTTTTGTTTTATTAAATTTTTTTTTTGAATCTACTATTACTTCGATCTTATTTTTAGTTTCCTACTACGCTTCTCACTATTTATTTTCTTGTCTTTGTTGTTTAACAACTATGTCATGGGTCAATAGTAAAAAGCTATTCTCTTCTTATTTTTATTTTGAACAAGCTAATTCGTGATAACGTACATGATGTGATCATGTTGGCAATGCTGATACTCATTTTTTTTTTCTGCCAAATTGTACAGAATGTATATGCGTATATTTCATATAAGAACAAATGACTATATTCATTTCAATTTGTCTGTTCTTTTTATTTAATTAAAGAGGTCTGATATTTAAAAAAAAAATCGATGGATATAATTAGTTTTTTCTCTTTTTCATGTTTTTTGTTGTTTTGTCTTGATCATGGCGACTCTAGTTTTATCGTTTTCTTTGTTTTTGTTTTCCATTTTTGAAATAAATTTTTTTCTCTGAGTGACATAACAAAGTCGAAAATTTTTTTAAGATGATGCAACCATTGGTATGCAAACCTGTCGACTTAAGTCATGTTTATTACTTATATGTAGTTTAATACTTACTTTTAATGAATACTATGAAAAACAGATTAGTTTTGATTCTTAAAGATGCGTTTTGGACAAATTCCTTTAGACAATTGGCTATGAGTATTTATTATTTAATATGTTCAATTTAGAATGTTTCTCTAGTAAATATATACAATTGATTTAATAGCAATTTCTTTTTTTAATTAGATACACAAATCACATATACGAGCATACACATATAGAGGAAAAAAAATAGCAGATACAATAGATCTGTAAAAAAAATTTTCACATATGCAAGAATAGATTATCTCTTTCACATAAACGAAAATGTTTGATAAACAATAAATAATTATTCATTCAACGCCATCAAATGTTGAACATACGCTTCCCATGTTGAAAATTGATGAAGTTTTTTGCATTCTTCGGCATGTCTATCACGCATTTGTATCACATAATTCACAGCTTTTTCACCTTTTTGTACGTATAATTGAATCGAAGGATCATCTTTTAACGAAAACTAAAAGCAAAGAAAACAAGATGATGTATACTATATAACAAATGAATTATCATTTATCACTGTTTACCGTTTCTAATTCGTTTCGAGCTTTTTCAATAAAATCTTTAATGGCTTGAAGTTCGATGGGAAATTGAGTCTTTTGGCTATGATATAAGAAATAAAATAATATTGCCGCTGTAAAAATTAAATTGATGATTTCTTTTCGTTTTTCTTCAGCTAAAAATCGAAAAAATTCAATTACGTGACGTAAAACGAATTAAGAAAATGTTTCGATCTTATTACTATTTGTTGAATAATTGTTGCTTCAATTTTGAAGATTCTTTTGCACTCTTTTCGTATTCATCCATATAGCAGAGACTCTCATCTATACACTTGTGAAAAACTGACTCATAATTCCACAAAATAGTGATCTTCTAGTCGTTTTACTGATTCATTCTATTTGAGGTGATTCAATTAATTATCTACATGCTAATTAGTGCTAATTGAGTAGATTTTTCTATTATCGGATTCCGCATCGCTCCAGAAACACGCTAAAATTAAACTTAACACCAAATTTCTCAATAATAAATTATACGAATCTGTTTGAATCTTCATACTAGAGTGAAAATATTTGCTGCAATAAATAGATTGAATTAGTAAAAGGTCTACAGGATTGCTGGGTTAGTTTTTCACAAGTGTGTAGATGAGTATCTCTGCTATGTGCATCTGTTAAAAGAATCTCCAAAATTGAAGCAGTTATTCAATAAATAGTAACAAAATCGAAAATATTTCCATTCACTTCAATTTTCTATTTGTTCTTATTTTTGCTTACACAACGAATCTAATCCGTTTAAATTTTCTTCAACATCCTTGAGATTGACATTAAATATTTTTTGTAAATCATTTGAAAATGTAAATGAGCCATCCTATACAAAGTTGTTAGTAGTTAAAAGACTTCAAATGAACTTGCGTATGTTTCACACACTTACATCATTTTGTAACCGAAATATATTATCCACTAGGCTGTCTGTCAATGGAATGTCTTTCATGTGAGAAAGTAATGCATCATCTCGACCTTTAGAAAAAAAAGACAGAATTGCATGATAGTTTATCAGATTTAGTGATTCTAACATGCGTACCACTTGTTACAGTTGCTATAAGTCCAATCGGTTGAGAACGTCCGTCACTCTGTAATGAGAAAAGTCCTTTAGATTTTTTCTATTCTTTTTAGCAACGAACAATGAGAAATTATGATTTGAATATCATCCTTCTTTTCCGTAAAGAATCACATTTAAACCCGACTATGTAAATCAGCGCTCTACCAGAACGTATAGTTACTAGATAAGACATGTTATGTTTTAATGTTCTGTAGAAATGGACTATTATATGAACTTAATTCATTCGCTTGATAGTCGTTCAATACAACACAGAAATTTAACATATCTTGAATTCGACAGCTTAGTCAAACAGATTGAGTTGTCAGAGTCATTAATGAAGGGAACGAAGTACTCGAAAACTGTAAAAATGAATTTTTCTTAGCTCAAGTAAAATCATCTGAATTAGCATATGAAACGAAAGAGATTCAGTTTAATTGATTTTGAAACTTTTTCTCAAAATATTTCCAAAGATTTCTAACTTTATTTTTCATGATTCAGTTTTTATTAGCAAAATATTTTTGATCTAAACGAGTTAAAACTTACAACATGTTAGATGATTTCAAAATTAAATGATACAATTTAGTAATATTCAATAAATTTATAAGAGATTATACGTAAAAGTATCTTATTCTGAATCATTTGTCGAAATAATAAAAGAATTCGTTTTAATACTATTCAAAGAAATTCAATGCGCGGAAATTGTGCAATTATTCACGTGAGTGCGATACACAAAATCTTCTTCCTGCGAAATCTATTCCTTACCGATTCACTCGTCATTATTTTTCTTAGAATATATGATCACGTCTAATTCACACAGATATTCAACTGGCAATTTCTTGTTTTAATATGAGTTTTCTATTGTTCTGTTTTTCTTTACTGATGTTTATGGCTATAATATAGTGGTTGTCGTTGAACAAACAGACAATGTGACGTGGACGAATTAAATTTCTTTTGGTCGTACGCACTTGTATTCTTTCATCGTTGACGTCGTGTATCTACTAGTGGAAGAGACAGTGTAAAATTATTCAGTTTCCTTCTTTTCTAGGCAGCAAAATAATTTTTCATGTAAATATAGGCTAAGTGAAAGAAAGAAGAAGAAAAAAAAGAGGCCTAAAAAAAATTGGTTTTCACAAAAAACTCGTCATCGCGTTTCACTTTTTCTTTTAGTTTGTATGACACATATTTATAAATATTCACTATGGAATACAAACGAGAGACTCTTATTTATAACGTGTCATTACTCATTTAAGAAAAAAAAATATTTATTGTTTCTAACAGAGCCATGAGCAATGTTTTTAGTTTTAGTATTGTAAATATACAATGAGCCATCATAAGATTGAATAAAATTTTAGTACTTGTCCCCTTTATTTTCTAAAATGAAAATTATTTCTTAATTGAGGTTAGAGGATAAAAGTTATATCTGTTCTTACTAACATACTGCAACTTTGTATAATTCAGAAAAGTCGGCCTATGAACGACGAACATTTTATATTCAAGTCATTCTGCTTTTCCCAATTGAGAATACTGTTTCTACCATCTTCTGTCTTATTCCCTTAGTTCAAGCTATTGAACAAAATACATATTCTTCAAAGAAAATTAGATACAAGAAATATAAAGAAATAGCAACAAAAATGTTCTAAAAATTTTTAATTGCTTATTTTTTCAATACTAAGAGAAAAATACGAAGTAAAGAGAAAGAAATATTATTTATGTATAAGAAAATGAACTAAAAGTAAAGACTCGAGATATTTCAGTTAATCTTACTGTGAAAAAAATTATAGGTTTAGATATTATTCGTGTAAGGCATGTTTATTCATAGCTCAAATTGCATTTCAGCATTGTCTGATATGGAGAAAAAAACCAAAGATCTACTAAGTGTTTAAATGACCATTAAGACTTGTTTGATAAGCACGAATATCATTGACGTACTTAATTTATGTTAATAAATTTTCTCTTCAAAAGCACGGTACTATGATATCAATTTCACAATAATCAGAAACGAACAAGAGATGGGACAGTAAAAGAAAATGCATAGTTTGCAACAAGTCGCGTTTATAATTTTGGTTTTAGCTCATTGTTTGTCTTTATTCAATATTAATTAGGAAGAATTGATGACTTCGTTATTTTGATACAATCAATTATTATTGAATGATCATTAACGTTGCATCGAGTTCGCTAAAAATTAGTTTTCTTCCCATTAAAGTGACACATATTGAAATATATAGAATACTTTTACGACACACTTGACGGTTTGAGATAAATTCTTGAACAATCATCACTCAAAAATGGAGTAAATAATTGATCTAACGATATGGTATATGAAGAAATAGCAGTTTAATATATAAATATCTGTGCCTTCAACTGACTTATCTTCGTATGTTTTTCGCAACTCACGTCGATCGATAAACTAAATTATCTTCGTCATATAAACATAATGTTTCGAATTTAAAACAATATTTCGGAGAGAACGCCAACCATTTTCTATTTATTCTAATGGCAATAGCATGGCAATCAGAGAATAATAACAATGGTCTGCAATTGATTGCTCATCTGTATAATCATTTTGTTGTGTATACAAACTATCACCACTTAAAACGTTTTTTAAACTACGAATGATATCTGTGTGTCATTTCACATAATCGTACATCATACTACACTGTCTGTTTGTCACAGTACACTGCTTGTTATCAGCATTTTCAACACATTTGTTAAAATTTTTTTCTGTTTATACTTTCAAAAAAATTGACAAATTTGAAGAATTTTTAAAAGAGAGAAACATAGAATTAAGGGGCAAGATAGACACAAGAGAAAACAGACAAAGCGAACATCAAAAATACACAACAAAGATGTTTATACAGACAATTTTGAACGAATGAAAAACTATTTTTTTAGTTTGAAGAGAATAAACATAGACGACGGGGAGCAAATATCAAAGAAAAAAAACAAAAAAGCGAACATCAAAAAAGAAAATACACAAATACATGTTTTATTGTTTTAGTAGAGCAAAATGTCAAATATTACGGCATAATTTGTTTTTTTCCAAATTATTTTGATGTCATCATTGTGACGAATTCTTCATAATTCACTTGACCATCCCTAAATAAGAAAAATATATTACGCAACGAATATTCAGATGTTTTACTAACGAATGCATACCCATCAATATCTGCTTCACGAATCATCTCATCAACCTCTTCATCGGTCAGCTTTTCTCCTAAGTTGGTCATTACATGCTAAAACACAAGAGAGCAATTATTTTGAATGACTATGTGTAAAAAAAACATGACTAAGTTAATATGTAACATAGCATATGCGTATGAACATCGGTATCCGAAGAAAATACTGTAATCTGAAGTGAATTCAACACACACACACACACACACACACACACACACACACACACACACAAACAGTCATTACTCTTGATTGTGGACATTAGCCACAATTACTGAATCATGTCGAACTTTCCTTTCTTGAATTCTTCTTAAAACTTTATTATTGTAATTTGTATAATAGTTCATCATCTTTCTCTATTACTAACTCAGCAAATTAGCGTATGACTTCTCAGAATTGTAACTATCGTATTTTCATCTTTTTGATCATATCACAATATTCATTGTTCTCTTATCCAGACCACTTTTCTTTATGTTATCATCACTCAAAAAAATATGTTCATATTCTATCACTTGTAAATGGTGTTTTTCCACAAACAGTTTTCTCTTTATTTTTTTTTATTCATCTCTTACTGATTCCAGCAAATTTCTAGAATCAATTAATTAGTCCTTTTTTGCTATCGTCGTTCAAAACACTATCATTAAAAGGTGTTTCACAATAGTTTTTAGCCAACTATTCCTTAGTCAACTATAGTTCATGTTACTCTATTGTTTTTTATTTGAATTACTTATGTTTATTCTCATTTATTTACTCTTCTACATCTGTTCTATCTATTTCCTGTTCATCGTTCCTGCTTTCTTCTTTGACTTCAGTCATTGATATTATAGGACGAAGATCATCAAAACATTCTCCGGTTCTAGTATTACAAAAAATGATGGACACAGCAAAATGGTTTAAAAGAAAGAGATGTCAGTTCTTAGATGTGGTTCCACACATTTAGGATGACAAAGATCAACAAGTGCTTATTATAAAGGATTACAATAATAATAAACGGAAGAAGTATCGATAAAACTTGCAAAGACTAAAGAAAAATAAGTTGTTTTGGTATAAACTACTTATAGAAAATAAACGTTTAAGAGCTCTTGTCTCAAGTATACAATAAAACTCGTCACTGTAAAGAGAAAGTGCTCGTTACGTTTATCGTAACTTACCTAGTTACGATTTTTACTCCTTTTACACATTCATTCCCATTTTAAAGGGGCAATACTATTACAAATAACTACAACGTCTTTCAGTTAAATAATTTGTTTCATCAAAACTTAAATACTACACACCCGTAATTCAGCAGCGGATATAAATCCATTTCCATCTTTATCAAACACCCGAAATGCTTCACGTATTTCTTCTTCACTATCCGTGTCTTTCATTTTTCTAGCCATCATTGTTAAAAATTCTGGAAAATCTATGGTTCCATTACCATCAGCATCAACTTCATTGATCATATCTTGTAATTCTGCTTCTGTTGGATTTTGACCTAAACTTCTCATTACTGTTCCTAAACACATATGAAAACAAACAACTTTTAGAAAAGCAGTTATTCTGTGTTTAAAAAAAACGAACCTAATTCTTTTGTTGTAATTGTCCCATCTCCATCTTTATCGAACAATGAAAATGCTTCTTTAAATTCTGCGATTTGTTCCTCGGTGAGTTGGTCCGCCATCCTTGCCTAATTTAAACAGAAATATGAAAAACAAACAGACGAATAATCAATTATTGATTGAAAAAAAACCGTTGATTTCAGTTTAACATGGGTCTGTCTAGTTTTATCCTTATGAGGTAATAAATGATGGCATAGTTTACAATAGAAAAAGTTTGAGTATAGTTCTCTCTTGTGTTCACTTCTTATTTCTCGAGAAGCAGAAATATTTTCGTTGAATAAAGTCAAAATCAGAAACTGTCTAAATAAATGTTCAAGAAAAAGAATAAAATGCGTAGCATGATTAATAACACCATTATGGTGTACTCTCTGACTTCGTTTGTCAAGGAACGCCTGGAAAAGATAAATACATTCAATAAAACAAATAAAAATAATGGTGTACTCTGGATAATATAAACTTCTATTATCAAAATTTGTTATTATTCAAAGGTTAAAATCATCAAATGGAATCTGATGTTATTGAAAAACAAATGTAGATGTCGTTCAGCACTTTTAAAATTATATATTCAATGACACGAGATTTTTCTCCCTAGTATGTGCTTACACGAAGTAGCATCTGTAGGTAAAATTTATTTTCAATAAAAAAAAATATGATTTAGACAAAATACACCGCCTACTGACATACAGGTGCCTCGGTGTAAAATGGTCATTCATGAGTCAGTAATAAAACCAACGATAGTTAAAAATCGTTCTTGTTCTGTATAGTTTTGCTATGAGCACGCCTGTCAAATTTTTTACGAAATTCTTTATTCATTGAATATTTCGTTTGTCCTCTATAATTGATTTGGAACTAATGGATCTATTTCAAACATATTGACAAGCCGACCGCAACCAATGAAATTTCCTATAGCTTTTCTCTCAGCTGCAACAGAAAAGAAAGAAAGAAAGAAAGAAAGAAACAAAAAAAATATAGAGCAAGACAGAGACGCAAGAGTATAAAGCTAATTTTTGTTTGTTTTTGAAAGATTTCTGGTTATTCTGTTTGTCCAGAAAAATATAAAATATTCATAATCTTTAATATATATATTTGTTAAGCTGTTGCCTTTATGTTTGAATTCTTTTATTTAGATAAAAAATCCTAAAAACAAAAGAACTAGAAGATTTCGTATCGGTTGTTAATTGTGGGTTTTTAGGAGGTTCAATGGCTAGTAGTAATAACAACCGTCCCGGTAACGGCGATAGACAACAAGGTTTGCGATCTAAATGTAAATTAGCTTTTGAAAAACAATTATATTTTGCCTTTGTTTTTCTTTTGATAGCAGCAGGCGAAGAAGAACTTGCATCAAAAACTTTGCATGTACAATCAAAACGTTTTTATCTCGACGTAAAACAAAATCGACGAGGACGATTTTTAAAAATTGCAGAAGTATAAATCAAAATTCAAAATTCATATTGTATGTTAGTTTGAACACTGCGTTAATTGTTTCTGTAGGTTAGTGCTGGTGGACGCAAAAGTCGTGTATTAATGTCAATGAGTGTGGCTGGTGAATTACGTGATAATTTGCAAACATTTAGCGAACATCTTGATACACTTGGTAATTGAGTAGTCTTTTTAGGTAATTATCAGAATTTTATCTCCTTTGCCTATTTTTTGTTTTAGGTGAGCCGAATCCAAATAATACGCCTGAAGATGGACGGTTGAAAAGCGCTATTATATCACGTGATGACAGAAAATATTATCTTGACTTAAAAGAAAATGAACGTGGCCGATTTTTACGTGTAAGCTATTCTATATTGGACAGAGATAATAGAATTAATCTTCTAATATTTCACAATAGATATCGATGGTTGGTATCATTAGTCCACGTACACAAATAGCAGTACCAGCACAAGGTAAGATGAAAGATATGCAAAAAAACACAGTATTTGGTTGGTTTTTAATGTGTTCTTAGGTATCAACGAACTTCGTGTAACATTATCGAATTTATTGGATGAATTTGGCATAGAAGACGATCGAGGTACTTTTTTTTCCATCATGTTGTCTTATCGAAGATGCAATTGATATCATCATCGCTTATATATTTGTTTTCAGATAGTGTCGAAACACCTCCGGCGATAGGTAAAGTCTATTTTTTAAATATCACTCTCGTGTGGATCTCTAATTCATGTCATCTGTTTTGATCTTATACGATCATCTAACCTTCTAATACACTAGCACATGCTTCATATTTTTTTCTTACGGTTGTTTAAATATATCTAGCATACACTGTGTCAGCAACTTCCGTCTTGAGTCATTTTCTAAAAGAATTGATATAACGATTATTGTTGATGTTAATGAACAAAGAGCAAACAAGAGCGGTTTCTACCTAAAAGAAGGACAGAGGATATTTTAGTTTTTATTGTGGGCCTGAACAATACATTCATTTTATTTCCACAAGTAATAAACATGTTATACACTGCTTAAAATCGCTTTAATGTTGGTACACGCTTAAAAGATAATTTTCAGTTTCTTTTACTCTACTAACTACATTCTCTATACTCATTTATTTTGTATTTTCTTTCATTTAGAACCAGCTGAGTTACCAGACTCGAAGTATTTACGAGTTGGCAATAAAAATTTTTATTTTGATGTTGGTTCAAATGATCGGGGTGTATTTTTACGCATATCAGAGGTAATTCGAAATGCCTCTCTTAAGATGTCTTAGACAAGTTGCTGAAACTGACATATCTAATGTATACGACTCTTAATTATGGCTTCAATGTGCTCGAGCAGAGGCCATCCTCAGTAGTTTTTTCCATATGACTGCTCATGAATGAAATATAATCTATCATTAAAGGCTTTAAGACTCGTTTACATCAACATCTACAAATACGATCGATGTAATGTTAAGGTGGTAGAAGTCTTATAGGTGCTTGCACTTTTTTGTGTTCCTAGAAATATGGCTTTATTCCCATTTTATACTAACGCTCTTGTTGAAAGTTCTAATTTAAACATCTCTTGAATTAATTGTCAAAATAAAAAAACGAAACAAAACATAATAGAAAAGTACTTCTTGTTCCTTTATTGATGGTTAATCATAAAGTAGATTGATTATATTCAATTTTGTTTTATTGTAGGTAAAACCTGGATTTCGAACTGCGGTTACAATACCCGAAAAGGTTTGGACACGTTTTCGTGATAATATTGGTGACTTTATCTCGTCCATGGAAAGTGAACGATCATTAGCCGGTGGACAAACTGCATCATCGCTCGGTGGTAATAGTGGTCAAGAACAAACTACAACACAACAAAGATCAAACCAAGAAACGCAACCACCTCGTCAGCAAAATCGAACGGCGGTTGTTTCTGCTGATTCGCCTCCTACCGGGGCATCTTCAACTCCTACTGGAAAAGTATCAGTACAAACACCACCAACAACTCCAAACAAGCCGGGAGATGGTGGTGGCGGTGGTAGAAGTGAAGAAAAAAATTAATTAGTCTTATTAGTCGTATTAACAACTGATCTTTACTTTTTTTGTGATTTTTTTTCTTCTTTCGCTCAGCATTGGGTTCTGATTTAGTAACGAAAAAGAAGGGATAACAGATGGGCGCAGCGTGAAACGTATGTTACTCTATTTTTTTTTACTCGTTCCACACACATTTCATCATATTTATTCATGTTTAGCTTAGCTTATATTCAACCTTCATACTTTCTTCCTATAGACAAATTTTTCTTGTTTTTTTTTTGTTTTTTTTTGACGGTGATTCCGAACAAGACCTGTCCATGTCTTAAAAAAGAGTTGTTTAATGTTTTGTTGTTGTTTGTAGTGTTTTTTTCGCGGGTCGGAATATTTTTGATGCTTATGGCAACAACAACGTATTGTATATGATACAGTATCTCGCAATTCATTCACACACATACACACATTCATAAAAACTATCTTCTCTCTATTTTTTTTGTATTTCCGGTGGTTTTCTTCATGTTGTTTACTTTACTTCTTTTTTTTTCTGTTTTGATTCTTCTAAACCGAGTGAGAAAAACGAAAGGTACGGTGATGTTAATCTTTTTCGCATGATGAACAGTGAACGATGATGGTGAAAGTATACACACTCTTAAATTGTATGTAATTTATATATATATTTCAATGAGTTACTTACTGTATCTAATTATTATTTATTTATTGGTCGACGTACGCGTGTTTGAAATAACACATACTTGGCAGAGTGATGAACGTTAGTATTAGTTTTGTTTCCATTTTGTATTGGCACTTTTATCTTTTTTATTCTGATTCCTATAGAAAATTATTCTCTATCTTACAGCAAAATAACGATTATTTTTTTTATTCCACTGGTTAAAACATATAGTTTTAGTTTTGACAGAAAAAATAAACAAAAAAAATATTTATGTTTTTTTGTTTCCAATTGTCAAATTTAGGCTAGCAGATTATACTAAATTTCTTTCGGGTTAAACGAAACTAAAAATCGGTAATTTTCGAATGAGTTCGCGTAAGTGTGTAACAAACAATAAAATATGTATGAAATAACGTTTTCTTTCCGTTAGTTTTTTTTTCTCTTTAAATCTTGTGCGTGTGTTTGTTGTTTGTTTTGAGGGAGGAGGAAATAATTACATTATTGTTTAAGAAAGGGCAAAAAAAACATTTTTTCTGTATGTGCGAACACGTATTAGTCTAGAGTCCAAAATTTTGTATTCGTTTTTGATGTCTTGTTGTGTATGTATGCTAGAACTTTCTTTTGCTGTTGTTTATTTAAATATTAGAAGATGGATGGAATATAAACACTTTAAAAACAAATAATTTTTGCGTGTTCGTTTTTTTTGCGCTGCTTGCTTTACGTTTACATGTTTTGTTTGGTGTACAAGAGTAAGATAAGAAAATAAATCAGAAAGAAGATGCAAACTTATCTTGTTTGTTTGTTTCAACTGACTATATTTTTCTGTAGAAATTAGACGAATAAGAGAGGCGCAGAATGGGGCAAACAGAAGTGAGAGAAAATCATACATTCTCAGCAGGAAATAGCAGCAAGGCGCACGCTTTTTTTCGCCATTCAGTTAATTGGTATCTACTGTGAAGTCTATCAAATGATAAACTCTCTCTGGTTTCCTAATGCAATATAAATATTTTCTCTTTTGTTTATTTATTGTTTTAGATATAAGATCTAATGTATTCATTCAAAACAGTGATTTGAAAGAGAAAAAACATAAAAAGTCGACTTTGTGTGCCTTTTCATTTATTCTCAATTTAAAGTTTAATTTCCTATGCCTTTGTTTGGTCGACGATTGTTTCATTTAACACCGACTGAAGCACAAGAATTATGTACCGATGGACAATACGTAATTGAACATACAAACCAAAAATTCAAAAATGTGAAGTATCCTTTTTTTTGTTCTAAATATCTAAACTTTTGAAATTAACGTCTTATGTTGTGAATACGCTCTGAATTCATATATTTCAGAGACTGTCCTGAGATATTTGAGGTCATGAACATAGCGCGTTGTTTTGCATAGAATAGTCGGGAAGAGTATGCCATATATAGTTGATAATTGTTTTTTAATTGAGATCATATTGTTTCTCATTATTTCACTACGACATATTCCTTAACATATTTTTAATAAGATTTTATGAAAAATTGAAAACAGCTTATGAATTACCACGATGGACGTGTGAATGTACATGGCGTCCGTGTCTAACACACATAGAAGCTTGTGATTCTGAGAATAATGTGCGAAAATCATTACCATCACTCGTACCAAGTTATTACAATAAAATTATATTAGACATTGTGCATCACAGTAAGTTTCTTTTTTTTATACATAATGGTGTATGTAGTTATTAGACTATTTTTATGTTAGATGTAAAACCATTAGAAAAATTAGCCGAAGAAGTGTCAATTTCAATTGGATCTGGTTATGTTGTGGGTGAAACTGTACAATTTCGAAAGAAAAAAGATTCACAAACGTATGTTAAGAATATGAAAGAAACTTACATTGTCGTTCATTTTATTTATTTCTAAATTTCTTAGTGTCAAAGGAGTAGTTGAAAAAATTCAGGAAGTCAATGAAACAAATGGTAGTATAATCGATGATCATCTGAAGAGGTCATCGGATCGAAAATCGATAACTACTCAATCGAAAACAACACCGGAAAAAGTATGCTCATGTTATAAGAAAAATTATATGTTTTTAATTCTAATATATTGTGTATTACAGATCGTGAAAAATTGTAAATATTCAATACGTTTACTGAATGATGATACAATAATAACTAGTGTAGTACCGGCAGATTTACAGTAAGTAAATATAGTAAAAAAACAAATACAAGGTTAACTGTGCTCTAATTTAGACGTCCAACACCAATACCAAATCGAGAAAAATTGAAAACATTTATACGTTCGTATGCAATACGTTTAGGAAATCGTATTGATAGTCCATGGATATTATTTGATAATAATATTAAACAAAAATATCAAATAATAGATCGAATACCAGATAATATTATTGAAAAATTCAAAAAAGAATTATCCATCACATTAGAAGTAAGGTGTATTCATCACACAAATATTTTGGCATTGTTAAGATTTATTTTGATTTGTTCTTACACAGGAAATATTGCGAGAACAAGAAAGAATTCGTCGAAAACAAGCTGAAGAAGTGCATAACGAAGTTGTAGCAGAAACAACAACACCCAATAGCAAAACGAGTACGTATATGTCATTAGGCAGCTGATTTTGACGTGTGACATTTTGGTGCTTCTTAATTAGTAGAATAATGTACAGTTAGACATAATTATCGAAAATTATCATATCCAAACGATTTTTTATCTTTCTAAGGATATTTTTCGAGTTTGTAACTAATTCATTTTTATCATAACTCGTCATATTTCAGTATTCTTCAAAAATGAACTTTTAAAACATTTCCGAATTGAACCATGTGTACTAAATGGTAAGTAAAAATAACGTAGTATTATTAAGTGCCAGAAAATGACAAAAAAAAGTAAAATAGTTTATTTTAGTTTCGTTCCTAGTTGAATTAATCCATTAGGATAATAATAAACTTTTTTTAATCAATTTGAACAGCAACAGCACACTCATTTCAATAGTTTTGCACTGTAGTCTTTAGAAAGACATTCTTCATTTTTTCTAAACATATTTAAAAAATGTTCATCAAACATTCGCTCAAGCGATAGTATTTTTAAAAATAGACATTTATTTGTTGATGAGTATCGATCATTGATGTTGTATTTTAGCACCATCACATAATGGTTGGTCATATGATGAAAACAATCATATTGTTATTCATGACTCGGATGATGATGAAGAAGAAGAATCAATTCCGCTATCGAAATTAGTTGCACAAATGACATCTCCTACTAAACAATTACATCTAGATCAACATTCTTCAAAATCTAAATCACCATCACTCAAAAAAAGATCATCAGCACCTAGTACCATCAAAGATCAACCATCAACATCTTCCTCTAAACATACTAAAAAAGATCAACGATCATCATTATCAAGCAATAAAACCAAAAAATCATCATCCAATAATAAACAATTAACATTGACCGATATGAAATTTACAAAAAATTCAAGCACATTATCTCCAACATCTAGTCAAAAATCTTTATTTAGCACTCCTGTACCACATGCACATCAAGTGATTATACCACTTGCCATTTTACAACGTTTAGATAAAACAAAGAAAGAAAAAGGTTTACAATCAAAATTATTTCAACGTCTAACGTTACATTGTGCTCGAACATTAAACGACAAACAACGTCAACGTTTACCAGATGAATATCGTTCATTAATTCAAGCAAAATATGAATATTTAGAAGAAAAAAAACAGTTATCTCAAATGACTGAACACGATCGACGTATATACTTACTTGAAAAACAGAAACAACGTATAAAAGATCAACAACCATGTGAAGATTTAGATTTATTACCGATAATGAAAACTTTACCATCACCAATTCTGTTTGATGTTGGTAATAGTAATTATGTTGGACATTTGTTAATGATTTGTACATTTTTTACATCTTGTCACAGTCTGTTTATATCCTCATTTACAACAAATCAGACGACAAAACATGATTTATCAAAATCAACACAAACATTTTTAAAAACATTTAAACATGATCATCTACTCAACGCCTATAAAACAACATCAACGGGAATATTTTTTAATTATTTTAATGAATTATGTTTAATATTAATGAAATTTTTGTTAAAAGAAGATGAAAAAAATAGTTATTCCGATGAGAATGAGAATGATACGGAAGAACTACAAAATGAACATAATGGTTCAGAGAAAAATGATGATAGTAATGAAGGAACAACATCAACTGTTGTATCAGCAAATGATGAATTTCAACATAATTATTCAATGTCAATAACAGATATAACATTAAATGCGTTTACATGTCAAGAATTAACGCGTTTATATTTATTAAAAGAGAAAAATTCTCATTATCAAACAATAATTGAAAAATTAACTGTGAGTACTTTTCTAATATTGTAGTTCATTTTTTTAATTAATCAAATTTTCTAATATTTTAGTCAGATGAATATAATCATTTTTCAATACATGACCAAATTGATCTGTTATTATTATTAATTGATATTATTATAAATGATAATTATCTGATGAATGATTATTTTGATTATTTACATCGACAAATGACAGAAGCATTAAAAGAACGAACAAAATTAGTTGCTGAAAAACGAAAACAAATTGAAGAAGAAAATAAAATAAAAAAGTTACAATTACAAAATGGTGAACATAAAACAAATTCAAAATCGAAAAAATCTAAATCTTTACCAGTTAAAACTAGTCAAAATAATGATGAAAATCAACAGAATGGAACAGTAACAACTACAACATTGACAACAACAATTGAGGAAATGGCTGGTGGCGAAGATGATGATGATCTCAAAAGTGTCTTACAAAGTCGACGACAAAAATTACAAGAATCAAAAGAATTAAAGGAGAAGAAAGAAATCGAAGCACAAAAATTATATAATGATCAAAAACGAGATGCAAATATACAACGAGCAGAACTTGCTTATCAGGTGAAAATATAATTTGGATCCGCATCTGTATTGAAACAAATATAGAAGTGGTTGCTCTTATTTTATGAAAGATGTTTAAAAAAAAATCATAAATAGTCTGTCAGTACAATTTGATTACTGTGAATTTTCTCTAAAACTCTAAAAACTTGTCAATGTACTAGAAAATTATTCATTCAGCTAAGATTATCCGCTCAAATAAAAAAAAAGGATTCTAAGTTCAGATCTCAACTGTGTAATCTATGTGTTTGAGTCCAGAAAAGATTCGATCTGCAGGATTTTAGAGCCTAATCCTTTTAGTTTGTACATATATGATTGAGCAGAGATCTAAGTGTTCAAAAACTTTTCTATAATCACAAAAAAAACTTGAATAAATTAGCAGTATTTAGTAAACATATTTATTTTAAATTTAGGACGCACTTAGAAATGTTCATCAAGGTCTTCGTATTAAACCATTGGGCTATGATCGTAATTGTAATCGATATTGGTATTTCAAAGGTTATGCTGGCATTTTCGTTGAATCAGGTTAGAATACATGTTTTTTACTATTTTTTTTTTATTTTGTATAATGTTTGCATTATTTTTTTGTTTAATCTAGGTTGGATTACTTCAGATGTCGATTATAACGTACAACGTCATCAATCAATAACGACTAGTCAAACATCTTCCTCGTCATTTTTGGCAGATGATGATGATTCTTTAAATCGAACAAAAAATGAATCGAATGAAAAATGCATTCCAAAATTTGATCAAAATCGATGGTATACATATAATGATGAGAAATCAATTGAACAATTGATACAATGTTTACACGTTCGTGGTATCCGTGAACATGAATTGTTAATAAATTTAAAAAAATGTTTACCATTTCTTAAGTTTGAATTTGAACAATTGAGAAAAAAACAGCAAAAGACTTCAGATGATTCAATATCTGTTCAACCGCTATCATCAACATTGACTGATACAAAAATCTCAACTACTATGGCAGCGGGTGATACTGATTCTATTTGTAGTCAAACAACGGAAAAAGATCTTACATCTGAACAATTTGATATTGTTAATGGATTCAAAAGTGATCTAGAAGAAATTGAAAATCGATTAAGATTAGGTAGTCTAGGTGGTTTTATAATAAGTGATAATTATGATGAATGGCATGAAAAATTAATGAATACAACTAATCGACAAGAATTAGGTGATCTATTAATACAATTACAACAAACAGTTGTAGAAAAATATGCAACTGGTATATTTGGTAATCGTGAAAAACGTCCACAAAATCAAACACAAATGGGTAAAAATAAAAAGAAATTCAAAATAAATCATGGTCAATCGTTAACAAATGCATTACAAACATGGATTAATGATGTTAAAACATGTAAAACATATTCAAGATTACACGTTTTAATGACGATATTTGAAACATCAATTGCATGGGAAAAGTCAACACTCGGTGCTGTAAGTATTTAGACAACTTTTATGTTCCTATCTTATATCAATAACTATATATCTATCTCCAATTAAACTGTTCTGTAAAGAACGGTTGAAATCTGAAGGGATAATCTTATGCAAACAAGATATTTTGTTCCTGTCGTGTTTTTCTTGAACTATCTCGTCTTTTTCTAGAAATGTAAAGTTTGTCGAAAGAAGAATAAAGATGATAATATTGTATTGTGTGATCAATGTTGTCATGGTTATCATATTGAGTGTTTAAGAGATTTTGGTACCGATTCTAAATTTTCTACATCATCCACCGATCTTTGGTATTGTCCGGCCTGTCGACCGCAACCAGCTACAAAACGTCGTGCGCGTCCACAACGTGGTAGTAATAAAAAACTTGATTATTTTAATGGGGATATTTATAATGATGAGTAAGTTAAACATTTTGCTTAGAAAGCATTTCGTTGCATTTTACACTATATTTAATTGATTTTTATTTTATTTTGTAGTGTAGCAGATGTTGACGAAGAAGACGGCGTATCATCGAATGATAATCATGATGTAACGGATGATAACATATCGTTCGGAGATGAAAATGATGATGGATCGAATGGTAATGATTCTGAAGGAATGGATTTTGATGATAACGACGCGTGTTGCCGTGTTTGTGGTTATGAAGCTGATGATGATAATGAATTGGTTCAATGTAGTCAATGTAAGTTCATTCAATTAGTATTATGTATACGCTAAAATCTAGCATTTCTTTTTTCTCATCGCTTTGCTCTGGAATACAACAGAAGTTGTACACGTAAATACATTGAGATCTAATTTTTGTAGGTAAATCACGTTATCATTGTCAGTGCCATGAACCAGCATTACGCCATCCTCCAAGATCGTCTAATTGGGTCTGTAATACATGTCGAACGGGTAGTGGTGCAGTTGTAAGTGACGATAAACGATTAAATCGTTCACGAGCACGGGGTCAAACAAAAAAAACGCACAAACAAAAAGGACAACGAGGTATTAAACACACTCTTTTCTCATATGTACACATCTAAAGACAACATCGTTCATTTTAGGTCGAAAACGTACAAATAACGTTAATGAAGATATATCTCACGCTGGAAGAACAACACGGTCCAGTCGAAAGAAACGTGAAATTAGTGATGAAGAAGAAGAAACTCAGGAACAAAGTGTCGAAAATGAAACAGTTCAACGTCGTTCATCAAAAAGACTTCGAAAATCTGATCCTAAACCATTTGTATATAAACCACGACGAGTTCGAATAGAAAAGTCTACTTCGTCATCTGAACCAGAAAATGGCAATCCTGTTTCTGAAGAAAGTGAAAATGAAAATGATACTTATCATTCATCAGATACAACAAGCGAAAACGAGAATGATATAGAAAATAATAACAATAGATTAGAACAATCCTCTATGTAGAATGAAAATAGGTATGGATAAACAATATTCTATTATTATTGTTGTTTTAACCTTATAGTTTTATTCTTTAAGGATTTTATTAACTTTGGATATATTGGTAGAATTATATACTGCAATATAAATTTATCGTTCATTGATGATTTTTCTTACATACTGTTGTCGTTTCTTTTTTAATGAAAAAAAAATATTATACACCTATGGCAATGCCAAAAAAGCAATCTCCGTGCGTTTTATCATAGACGGTTTTATTTTCTCATCCTCTCTGTAATTTTTATTCGTTTTTTTTCTAATGTGTTTATGTTTTCGTATATATTCTTGAAGAAAAATGAATTTTGTTTTCTTTCTGGTTTAACATCGATATATGTAAATAAAACATTGTTTTCCTTTCTAACACAATTTGTATTTAGCTATCGCTATCTGTCTACTTTTTCGTTTGTCATTAATGTCGTATGACATGTGTAATATGCGTGTCATTTTTCTTCTTTTTTTTTATGTAGTCACATTGATCTCGTCGTCAGCTTCTTTTTTTGTTTTGTTTATTGAATGCATGAAACTAGATAAAGCAGTCTCGCGGTATTCTCTCTAAATTACGGATGATAGTAACCATGTGTGTATTTCTGTGTGTATAGGTATTTTGTTGTCATTCTCTCGCAAAAAGCATTCAGCTGTTTGTTTCTTACGTGTAATACAAAAAAATCTAGTTGTTTTTCTTTTTCTGTTGTTTATTAATTACTGTTGTTGTTGTTGTTTTTTCTCTTATTTGTCGATAGAACACAAACTACAATCTATTTTTTTATAGATAAACACAAAAAAACCATGTACAACGTTATATGGAATAAAAACAGAACACAGTGTGTATTAGCGGATGGGTGCTTTTGTTATTTTATATCTGTAGACAGAGATAGTCATCGATAGAGAAGTTTGATCATACTGTGAGCCTTACTTTTCATCGTCTAATTTTTGCCAGCACAAAATTATTGTAGTTTTTTTCTACGTTTTTCAATGTTTCAGTCAAACTCAGTTTTTGAACTAGGTGTGTGTAGTTCAGAACTACTGACTGATCAGAATGATAGATACATCATCAAATGAAGTATATACACTTCATTGAAGTGTGCGCACTACTAATGAGACATCTGAGCTGTTTGTTCGCTTCACGATATGTTCATATTGGTTTAAACTATATTTATTATAAGATAAACTTCTTAACACTCTCTGCTAAATCGGCTCGCCATTGTATAGCAAGAAGTAGAAGTCCACGATGTCGTACGTTACCAATAACAATTAGAATAACAATTAAAAATAGAAGTAGAAACAATAAATAAACAGTGAACTAGAAGAAAATTAACAATAAAAAATAAAAAAAGGTTTATGTTCACATTACCGCAGAAGAAGACGAGATTATACTAGAAACCACAATATAATTTTCTCCGTTTATATACTATTATAAAGTTTTCATTTTTAGATGAGTATAAATTCTATTCGTCACGCTAGTCATGCTGGAAGTTGGTATGTAGATAATAGTGATCGTTTAAATTCTCAATTAACAACATGGTTAAATGAAGTTGGCGGCGGCAATAAGGTTGATCATGGAAAAGCACAAGCCATCATTGCTCCACATGCTGGTTATACATATTCTGGACCAACAGCTGCTTATGCTTACAAACAAATTGATCCAACTGATATTGATCGTGTATTTTTACTTGGTCCATCACATCATTATAGTTTAAATTCCTGTGCATTAACAAATCATACACATTATGAAACACCATTTTATAATATTAAAATTGACTCACAAACATCTTCACTGTTGTATAAAACGGGTTTATTTTCAACTATGACTAATGATCAAGATGAGAATGAACATTCGTTAGAAATGCATTTACCATATATCGCAAAAATATTTGAAAAGTAAACAAAATCATATTTTTTTCATACACATGTATTCGATTGATTTTTATTATTTCTCTAGAAAACGCAATGATTTTCAACTAATTCCAATTTTAGTTGGCTCATTAGACTCACGAAAACTTGAACAATACGGTCAATTATTAGCACCTTATTTATGTGATCCAAAAAATTTATTTGTGATATCATCTGATTTTTGCCATTGGGGTAATCATTGTGTAGAAACTGATTTTATCTATTCATGAAACTATATCTTGCGTTTTATTTTTTAGGTAAAAAGTTTGCCTATACGCCGTATGATCAAAATGATGGTGAAATATGGCAATTCATTCAAAAACTAGATAATAAGGTAAGAAAATAAAAATTATTATCTTTAAAATAATTGAAAGTGTCATTTATCTTTAGGGTATGGAATTGATAGAACAATTGAATTTGAGTGAATTTCATAAATATTTACGAGTTCGAGAAATTAGTGAAATTAGATTTATAGAATAGATTCAAGAATGGGACTCAAAGAACCGTTCCCAGCAAGAGGTGATGCTACATCTTTCTTGTTCGTTGTTGATATGAAAGTATTCATTGAAATCAGTCGGCCAACATTGTCATTTAGCTCTTGTAGTTCACCAGCTTTTAAATGCTGTCCTCGATACACCGTTAAGAAGCATTCATCATCCGTAAAAGATTTCATGAATTTCGAATGTTCTTTTTGCAATTGTCGATAAAGATCAGCTATGAAAAAGCGAAATTTAAATATAATATCAATATCTCGTGTTCGAAGAGCTTTATTTAAGAGGCGATATACAAATGAATCGCGCGTGTACCACGACACGGCTGCATCAGAAGAATAGTTCAAACGAAAATCGTTTATCTTTTCGAGTTCTTTACCATTGTCTCTGTAATATGATTCACATTCGGTTAACATTTCCGTTTTCGATTCGTCAGATTGTGGCATACGAAGTAGAACATCAATTAACAATTGGACTGGTTCACCATGATCAAGGCGAATATTCTCAAGCACTGACATATTATCAGAAGTCTCTTGAAATCAAGACTTTGGGTCCCAAACATCCAAGGGTTGCAACAACGTACAACAACACTGGTAAAGCTCACAATCATCAAGGCGATTATTCGCAAGCATTGACATATTATCCGAAAGCTCTTGAAATCCAAATAAAGACTTTCGGACCGAACCATCCAAGTGTCGCAACACCGTACAACAACGTTGGTAAAGTTCACCGGCATCAAGGCCAATATTGTCAAGCATTGAGATATTATCAGAAGGCTCTTGAAATCCAACTGAAGACTTTCAATCCGAACCATCCTAGTCTCGCAACACACATATTTGTTCGTTCGCCTATTATCAGAAAGCTCTAGAAAGTTGAGCAGTTTCGGACCGAGCGCCCCCAGTGTTGCAATAACGTACACCAACATCAGTAACGTTTTCCATGATGAAGCTGACTATTCTGAAGCATTGACATATTATCAGCAAACTCTTGAGATTGACTTGAAGGCTTTGGGTCCGAACCATCCTAGTGTCGCAACAAGGTACAACAACATTGGCAAAGTTCACCATGATGAAGGCGAATATTCTCTAGCATTAACATATTATCAGCAGACTCTAGACATCCAACTCAAGACTTTGGATTCCAAACATCCACGTGTCGCAACACCCTACAACCCATTGGTAAAGTTCACCATGTTCAAGGCAAATATTCTGAAGTAATGACAGCTCTTAAAATCCAAATAAGGACTTTCCGACCGAACCATCCAAGCGTCGCAACAATGTACAACAACGTTGGTAAGTTCACCGGCATCAAGGCCAATATTCTCAAGCATTGACATATTATCAGAAGGCTCTCGAAATCCAACTGAAGACTTTCAGTCCGAACCATCCAAGTCTCGCAACAACGTACAAGAACATTGGATTGGTTCAACATGATCAAGCCGAATATTCTGAACCATTGTCATATTATCGGCAAAGTCTTGAGGTTGACTTGAAGATTTTGGGTCCCAATCATCCAAGTGTTGCAACAGCGTACATCAGCATCGGTAGTGTTCTCCATGATCAAGGCGAATATCCTGATGCACTGTCATATTATCAGCAAACTCTTGAAACTGAGTTGAAGACTTCCGGTCCGAACCATCGAAGGGTCGTAACAAGGTACAACAATATTGACAAAGTTCACCATGATCAAGCCGAATATTCTGAAGCATTGTCATATTATCAGCAAACTCTTGAGTTTGACTTGAAGACTTTGGGTCCGAACCATCCAAGTGTCGCAATAACGTACAACCGCGTTGGTAGAGTTTAGAATGATGAAGGGGAATACTCTCAGGAATTCTCATATTATGAGAAACCTCTTGAAATCAAAATGAAGGCTCTGATTCCGAAGCATCCAAGGCGGGTGCTTCCACTGAGGTCCGGCCACTTTATGCAGAGTATCTTGTCGCGAGAGTTTCACTTTGCCCATCGTGTAGTGCGTCAAAAATAACCTAAGAGTCTCGCTTACGCGTTTTTGAAAGAACGTGTAGAAAGGGGTTTCCTAACTCCTCAAGTTTTCGGTGAGGGTGAAGCCGAAGTCGGTGAAAATAAGCGAAACATTGCATAATTATAAGTCATGTTGTAGCTCGTGACGAGCTGATTCTAATGGTGAATGAATCTGGTCTCGATCTAAGTTTACATTCGAGTGATACTCCATGTACTTGAGAAATTCCTGAAGTTTGACCTCGATTTTCTCGTAAACCCTCGGAAAATTTTTCGAGATTTTTTCAGGATAGAAACTACTTAGTAGGATCTATAACTTTGCCCATACAAGTATCCTCGACACTTTCCATTTTTCACCATCAGTTTCCAGAAAACCCGTTAAAACCTTACTTCATGCAAAGAAAATTCGGTCATTATGACTCTATATTTCTGTTCAACACTAACAATTCAATGTACTTCAGTTTTTTCTGCGGCTTCTTTGTGTTTCGGCACCGCAGGTTTCTAAGAGGATTTCTGGGATCAAGTCCAATATTCTCAAGCATTGAAATATTTTGGAACAGCGTTGGATATTGCACGAAACACACTATCTCGTACTGACGCTCAAATTGAGTTGTTTCGATCTAGCGTTTGTAGGATCATTGGCATGATAAGGTAGTCTTACTGGAATGAGAAGGCTAGGTTATCACTCTGAATTGATCTGTTCGATTACCGTGATATTTTGATTTACTCCTTTTTTATAGTATATACGTTTGTGAAGGTAATAATGAAATTCTTGTTCGCTTAACGGAGAAGCGAATTATGTTGGTAACGCATGCAGCCACCTCGTAAAGGTTGCTGATTTATATTGAAATATATAGTTCATATTAACTCTTTTATCAATTACAAAAATGACTTCTTTAAAATAAATTTATATTGATATTGTTGTTGATACTGTACCATTTCTAATTTAGTATGTTTTTTGGTGTTGTTTTTATACGATTCTAATTCCAACTTTTATTTTACTATTATAACACACATCTCATTCTCATGGTAGGTGATACATATTCGATTCTGATGTATTTTTGATTGTTTTATTCAACGACGATTGAATTTTGTATGAGTAACCGAAAATATAATATTTTGTTCCGCTTTTGTAATTTTATTTTTTTGCACATCTATACCTGGAACATATAATAATAATATAGTATATTCAGATCATCTTCGTTGTTCCTCTGTGCTGTAGCGTTCGATGTATACAGAGTGTACCAAAAGTCACTATCTATTAAAAAAATTTTAATAACTCCGTCATTTCTCAACCAAACTTCAAGGTTGTTTTTTGTTTGATAGAGAAACTTTCCAACTTTTATACCATACGGTTGGAAATTTTTGTGTAAAAAAAGATCAGTGCGGAAAAATAATAAAACTTACAACATATGTTTTCTGTGTGAGTACTTTTAATAGTGCGTAAAGATTGTTGAACTTGTCGTAATTAAATGGAATCTTTGTCGGAGTCGCACTACGTCTCATTTTGTAGAACTCTGGTTGCTGTATAATCCCGCATATTCAAATGTTTTATTCAGCTTAAAGTTTTGTCACAAGAAGTTAACTTCTCATATTAGCATGATCTATGGATGCAGCTTCTGCAATAGCCTGATACAACTTTTTACAGGCTTTCGAACTATTCCAGTTTATAAGGCTCCCTTATTTGTATGAAATTGCACTAGTAGTTTTTTATTGAGTAGTGACTTTTGGAACATCCTGTATGATTTTATTATATTTCGGATGATATTGTCGATTTCACTTTTTGGATAATTAAAATTCATTAATAGTTGTTTTAAATTATCTGAATTTTGAACGTATTTATGATGTTCTGTTGTTGTTTATATAGTTCTTCTTGTCATATTTGATAAAATGTTCTGGTTAATTGATTTGTGATAACAAGAATTGTAGCTCATCAAACGATCTGTCGTTATTTGTTTACAAAACCATCGAACATGTATTGGATCATTGTTACCATCATTGGATTCAGTTAATGTTATATACAGAAAATTGTTGTTAGTTTTTTATATGATATTCTGTTGTAAATGTTATATTACTTTTTAGTTTGTTCAATTGGACGATAAAATCTTGTAATTCTAGTTCACTCATTATAGTTATTAATACCATCCACATATTGCCATATTTTCTTTACATGATTAACTTATAGGTAAATGTTTCGACATATAATCATTCATATATAAATCGACTAGCAACAGAGATAAACTATTTCTCATAGTTAATCCTCGTTTCGACGATAATATTTACCATTAAAGCCCACATAACTATTGTTTAGAATCAATAACATCAAGTTTTTTATATCTGTTTTTGTGAAAGTTGCTTCGCTACAAAATTTTTCGGAGCCATCAATAGTGGAACGGATAAAGATGACAATGAATAGTGAATATTTTACTTTTCTTCTTCCTGGTTTCTAGTACCATCTCTCTCTGTCTTCCACTATCTATGTTAGTTAATTTGTATATAGTGGAAACTCATTGTATATTTTGGAAATCTTCATCTCTCTCTCTATTAATTATTATTTTTCTATGTGTGTATGTGATACTATATACAGTACAATATTTCAAAAACTATTGATCCGATCAAATCGCTTAGACACGCGTTGGAAAGCTGAGCTCAAGCTGACCAATTTACATAATAAAATCATCAAAATTGATGGAGCGGTCCAAAAGTTATAGGCATT